TCGGAATATTTAGTGTTTATTTTTTCGAAAACAATGTCTACGGATGGATTATTGTTTGTTGTACAAAAAAAAAAGTTGACTCGTTAGTAAATAAACTGCTTTTTGATTCTGCCGATTCGTCATAAATTCGAAAAACTCTGTTATACTTATTTTGACCAGTAAGTTTGTTTATCTCGATTCCCAATGTTTATAGTACATGTGCACTGTCGTTTTACGAATATCGCCCTGCTATTAATAGAGATGGGCGTACCTACATCAAATGGCTCGTACATTTTTTTCCTAATCTGTATACAATATTGATCATTATAAAAATCAAGTCAAATAAGGTGTCGCGATTTTTAATATTTTTTCAATTGTTTCAAAAATATTTTGAAAATCGCCAACTTATATTACATGAAATAGATAGATGATCTATCTAATGAGCTACGTAGGCCATCTCTATACATGTTTATCATTATAAAAAGCATGTCAAATGAGGTGTCGCCGCGATTTTTTTAATATATCTTCTGCTGTTACAGAGGAAAATATTCGAAACTTTAAAAACCCTAAATTTGTTCAAATTTGATCTAAGTAAATTATATAGCTGACTGTATATTTGGAATATGCTTGGTTTAAGGTGAGCATAATAATTATAATACCCGTTTTCTTTAAATCATAATTATAGGCCAGAATATAGATTCTATTATAATTAATGTTCTTTATATCATTTTTATCTAAATAAATATTCTATCTCATTTACTTGATGTTTAAATTAACGACTGTATTAAATATCATATAGTTTCGTCACTATTTTTTTTTTTTTTAGTAGAAATATTCTGTACAATTTATACAACAGTAACATTTCTCTACTCAATGTTCACACATGAAAGACAATAGACAAGAAGTACGAGTAAAAAAATAAATAAATAAATAATACTAAATCATCCTGAATAATAGCAGTTACAGAATCATTAGAATATTGACAAATTAGAGGGTAGAGATTGGCAAAAAAATTAAAAATGTGAGAAATACACTTTAATTGTAAATGTTGCCCAATTTATAGAAGTGGGAAACAGGTTCTGCGCACAAACGAAAATCTACTAGCCGACCAAGGACAGTACGAACACTGGAAAATGTGAATGCAGTAAGAGTTTCCGTACAACAGTCTCCAAGGCGTTCAGCTCATAAGCATGCAGCTGCTTTGGGGATTTCCGATAGAAGTGTTCGAAGAATTTTACACAACTCACTCCAAATGCATCCGTACAAAATGATGGTAGTGCAGGAATTAAGTGAAAGAGATTTTGAAACCCGTACAAATTCATGCCGGGATATTATTCAAAACATTCCCCGAGGCGCTGTATTCATGTCTAGCGATGAAGCTCACTTTCACCTATCGAGTTCCGTAAATAAGCAAAATTTTCGTTATTGGTCGGCAAATAATCCATAGGAACTTCACTTCACAGTCCAAAGGTTACTGTCTGGTGTGCAATATCTGAGTTCGGCGTGTGGGGTCCTTATTTTTTCGAAGAAGATGGAATAACGGTAACAGTCAACGGAGATCGATATTTTGATATGCTTAACAATTTCCTACGTCCAAAAGTTAACGAGTTGAACGTTAATCAACGAGAAAATCTTTGGTTCCAGCAGGATGGTGCTACATCGCACACCACGCGTCGTTCACTTAATCTTCTTCAAGAAATGTTCCCAAATAAAGTAGTGTCTTTACGAGGTGATCTCTGCTGGCCGCCGCGTTCGCCTGATTTGTCGCCTTTAGACTTTTTTCTTTGGAGTTACCTCAAATCGAGTTTTTACACATCGTCCGCGGACTTTGGAAGAATTAAAGGCAGCCATAAGACAAGACATTGTCGCAATTCCCCAAGAAAGGATCCATCGGGTAATGACGCGCTTCCGTGAAAACCTACAAGAGTGCATCGACAATAATGGCCGTCATTTAAAAGTTATCATTTTTAAAAAATAACGTTCTTAAATGGCATGAAATGTAGATTTCAATAATAAAAAAAAATGTTGCTTTATGTGGTTTGGTTTTTATTGACATCCCAAGTAGTACATATAATTTTGCCGCACCCTGTAGTTCTCATAAAAAATAAAAACTACACACCTTTATCTTTCAAATTCATCACTTACATATTTATATTAGGTACAGTAGTTAAACTTGAAGTTGAGTTATCACAAGAAAATCAAAATAAGAAATAAAATAATGCACTTATCCTTTTTTTATATAGGATTCTGATTACCCACCATATTAGTTAAATACGGTGCAACAAATTACCCAAATTCGGAACTATCAGAATGTTAATTGTTGATTTATACAATAATTTCACTTTTGTCCACCTAGGTTGCTCTGTTCGAACCACTGTGCGATGACGGGCGCTTTCCGACTGCTGTAGAAACAAACCTACTGTATAAGATAAGAACAAAGAAATCTCACATTTCAACAAGGAAAACCATAAACATACCATTACTCAGGATGACAGTGACACAGCTAAATTATTTAACATTTTACACTTCTACTAAGTGCGCAATTGACTAATTTCACTAAATATTGCTAAACTGGAAATGATTGCACAATTGTTTTGTGTTTCAGGCAGTAGTTTTACTACAATTGCATACATTTTTGTTTATAACTTTTAGTTCAAATTAACCTAACTGTTGGTAACAAATATATGTTATTATCATAAATTTATCGTGGGTAGGCAAAGAAGTATAAATTAAAAATGTAGAAGCTGAGTAAATCTATGTTATATGTCTTATACTTATACTGATTTTCCCACAAAAAAGAGGTATTTTTGTAAGTTATATTATAAGGTCCAAATTCAATAGAGACCCTAATAGAAAGTATTGACTTATCTCACGTTTTACACTAAGTATAGATGACTGAAAGTAATTTATCCAACATTTTGACTTATACTCCTTTTCCCATACACGATAGAAATGTTAGTGTCTTATTTCTCGAAATGCCTCAGGGCTCGAAAGACCATGTTAACGTTTGAAAAGTAAAACACAACAATTGTACTTTATGTTAACAACTACATTTGTGCACCCCAAAAATAATTTATAATGCAAGTGGACCTTTGAAAATAAAGTTATATATTAATCTAATTAACCCATAATTGAGAAGATTATAGACATTTGCAAACTGTTAATTCTGTTAAATAATACTGCAAAAATATTTTATTTTGGATATTTAATCTATTCAAGGGGGGAGGGAATCAAGCTAAATCTTTCAAAATCTCACTTGGTAAATCTTAGGTTATTTTTTCTTTTTTTTTTTAATAATCCAATGCATTTACACCCAAAACACAAATTTTGAAAAATTTCACGTGAAATTAGAGGAGCGGGGAGTGAGTTGAGAAAAATCTTACGAAATCTCAACAGGGAGGAGAGGGTCAAATAATCCTCAAAAATACCTCACGTAATTAATGGACGCCCCCTTGAGAGAACTAGAAGTACTAAATAAACTACTAAGGTTTACCCAAAGCATTATAAGGGTTTTTTCAATGGGCATTAAAAAGATTTAAAGTTATGAAAGTAAATGCGTTGTCGATCCTGTTTTTCAACTTTGTTTTAGAAAAGTTATGACATATTCTGCGATACTAACAAAACAACAATGTACCGGGTGCGCAAATAAGAAAGGAAGATGTCCATACCTAAGGAACCATTTATTAAACAAATTTTTTTGAACTAAAGTGGTTTAAAAAAGGAAATAATTCCAAACTCAAATGTGACCTAGATGTAAAATACATCAAACAAATCTCAAAGCTTGAAATTATTTTGAAATTGCTAGATTAGCCCATGGGGGGCGTAATGCTCATAATCAACGATAAAAACACGTCGAAAATATGAAAATTGTAATTTTTGGGAATTTATCATTGCATTACGCCAAATGTAGAAGTTAGAAAGTTGAAAATAATTTCCAGCGATTTGCTTTGATCACTTTTATCTGGAATATTTTTCCTCAAAATTCTACGAGACATACTTTCTGAGATAAGAGCTATAACACTCGGTACAAGAAGATACAAATTATGCCTTCAATAAAGCAAAGAATGCCAAAAGATGAAGTAATCCACAAAAAATGTTTCTTGGAAAAATACACATGTCGAAGCATACAATTCTTCTTTTTTTAATGAGTTTGGATTTGATTCAGAGGCTTGCATAGTTATCACGGATAAAACTCCTCTGTCTTAGAGAAACATTTTTTTTTTGATCAATATAGCATTGAAAGAAGATCAAGGAAAACCCAACTTAGGATACTGGTAAGTGACGAAGGAAATTATCTAAACTCCTAGCAATATTGAATCAAGTATTTAAATTAAGGATAAAAAAAATCGTATTTACCAGATTGATAAATGAGGCTAAAGAAATTTATAAAGAAAAAATTTAACAAACATTTTTGTAGGATAAGAGAACATCAATAAACTGATCCTGTAGTATATAGCACAGTCAAACTCCAATGTATAAATAAAAGGTTTTGAATATTTAAAAAAGAAACAATTTTTAGAATCAATTCCTTATACTTCGCATTCTTAGGAACTTGCTAGTCTAAAATTCTGCATTAGAAAAATTTACCCCACCTTTTATTTTTATTAAAAACATAGTTAACACAATAACTAGATTTCCTGTCAATATCCTGACCCTAAAGTATAGTGCCAGGATATTGTAGATATCCTAGTAACGATTTATTTATTTTTCATATTAATGTTTTTTAAACAAAATAATAGATGGGAGAAGAACTTCTTAATGACAGATTTCGTACTACGGCTGTCCTAAACAAAAGGCAATTCCATTTAATTACATATTGACATTTTGTAAATGCCTATACTCTAGTAGCGACCAAATTTGTTAATAAAACAAGCATATTACAACCAGACCACTTGCATTGTGTAGTGGTTTCGTGTTACTGAATAAAATATTATAAGATGATTACTTCTTTGGGAATCATTACAGATTAACTATCACTTGCTTCTATAGCATGGAATTGGTTAAGTTTTTTAATTTAAGTTTTAAGCCATTGTGGGGTCCTCTAACGCGCCGTCTTCTTCCAGCTTCGATATGAATTTGGTAACTCTGATTCGTTCATCCGTCTGTCTAGCCATGTCTACTAGAGCTAGCAATTTTTTTACACCAATGAAAATCCTACAATAAAAATCATTATAAAAGTACTTAAAAAATATAATATTTATCAATATATTATCTTTGTTTTATTTATGTGTATAAAGATGAAATTATAAGGCAGATTGAGAGTTTTAAACCAATGAAATTCATATGCATTCTGTTAGTTTCAACTTTACAATGTGAAGAAGAAAATGAGAATGATAAACAACCAGGATTTAGTGATTAAGGGTGAGATTACAGAAAATAAACCACGTCTGCAACTTTGCAGATCTGTAAGTCCGCCATATTACAGTTACTTATTGAATCTATCCATCGCAGATTTATGAAATACGTTGCATTTATCCAGAAAGGGGAATTGACAATGCTGTTCTATTGGGTAAATTATCTTTAATGTCTCCAGAAGACAGGAGAGTACTGCAGGGCATAACTTTTATATATAAACTAGTTAATAATTTATTGGACTATCCAGACCTGCTATCCCAAATTAAATTTAGTGTACCGTATTTCAATACAAAATATAAAACGGTATTTTACTTACCCACACATCGAACAAATATTTTGATAAATTCACCTATCCATACCATTTGCAACAATTTTAATAGATATGCAGTTGAATTAAATTTGGACATAAACTTTGAATTTCTTACAAGCATTAAATGTAAAATCAATGAGTACTTACTCATACAATATTTATAAATAGGTACAGTTTCATTCTTTCGCTATATTTTATAGTGTCAGGTCAGTTTAAATATTTAAAGCACAAAGCTATTAATTTAAGTATTTTAAGTTATTTTCTTTAAATTAGGTATAATTATATGTATACATATATTTTTGTATGTGTCCTCTAATTGGGGTTTAACCTGTTTGGACATTAAAGTATTTTTTTTTTATTTGCATATCTGTAAATTTGCAGACGTGGTGCGATTTCTGTAATCTCACCCTATATTTCAAATTAATCTAATGAAAATAGTAATCGTGTGTATTAAAATGTAATATCGCTATAAACAATATTAATAAATAATATGAATAAAATATTTTGAATCCGCATCTAAGTGAAATAATCACAATCTGTATGAACACAAGTCTTGTTTGTCTACAAATTTTTCTTCACCAATTATTAACTAGTATGTTCTACTTCCAAATCAATATCACAAATAAAGTTTGTATATTAATTAACTAAAGATTTTCAAACGATCTGAATAGATCAAGAATATACAGTAGGTGGGGAGGATAAGGAAAAATGTAGATATCGGTTCTTACACTCTTTCTCATAATGGTAATTAAATATTAAATCTACAATATTATTAGATAGTTTACAACAAAATTTATTAGTTATGTCAAATTATATTCTGCAGAAACATTAAGTTATGCATTTTAAAATTGGCAGTGTAAAAAGTAGAAAAACTTACCTCTTTCCATGAACTTGTTGAGCAATTTTCTTCAGTTCTTTGCCAGAAAACACATCACAAGCTTCTAATATGTTCAAAAGATGTTCAGGTTTGGACAAATTTGGTACATGTAATACAGCAGTAAATGCAGATAACATTTCCATCTCTTCCAACACTTGTCTAAACAAAAAAAAAATTAACATTTTGAGAGGTAAATAAATAGATATTTATTGAAGTAGCATAAACCTAATATACAAAAAAAAATTAGAGAAATACAAATACACTACACTTAAAACTTAAAGATACTTTTAATCTTGAGTTTAGACAGCCTTAATTAACAATAAAACAAATAACAGTTGAAATCATGAACCAAAATATTAAAAAAGCAGAATAAAAAAGTAATAATCAAATATATAAAAGTTAAAATCAAATTTTATCAGTTATAATAAAAGTTGTCAATTTTTTTTTTAAACTTGCTAATGAATTACAATCTTTCAAGCCCCTGGGCAATTCATTATACTCTTGGAAACCTTTATACAATAACGATGCCTATCATCATTATTTACTGGTGATACATACCTTCTGCTGGTGGTACATAAAATAAGAAGCTTCTTTCCAGGAGGAGGTTGTTTCTTTAGAAGAACCAATAACGCTTGCAATGTCAAATTTGAATATCGAGGACCAATAGGACCATAATCAAGCAGTCTTTCAATGTTATCAACCAGAATGCAACTTAGAGTTGATCGGTAGGCATCATCAAATACCTAAAAATATATAAACCTGATTGACTAATTGTTCCAAGATCTTTGGCGTTACAGATAAAACGTATTTTGTACCTTTCGGATGGTCAAACATTTTGCTGTTTCAGTGTAACCGACCATTTCTTCAGGAGAACAGACTTTAACAAATGGAAAATCGGAATTTTTGGCTAGTTGAGCAGCCAATGCTGTCTTTCCAGCATTTGGCGGGCCTTCAATAAGAACAGATACCAGTCCTAAAACAAAAAATATGTCATTGTTGTGAATTAATTTGCCTTCTTAGGACAGTGCATGGTTCAAGTTTTAAGTCCAGGCGTTGGCGAAAATGGCAATACTGTTTTCATTGGCTTGTCAGTATGTATTGATTTCTGATCCTGTGTTAAAAGGTATAAAAGGTAGGGTTGTTCCCTGGTGTTAAAGTAATATCGCACACATTGTGTAAAGATTCCCGAAAAATAATTTATCATTACATCAAATAAAATAATACAGATGTTTCTTTTAGAGGCCAAAAAGTAAAAGATTTACTTGTTCTTCATTTTTAATGGTTTTTAACAATTTTAGATGTGTTTAGAGTAAAGTTAAATCATTAACATTCTTTTATATCTCTTTTCATCATGTTTAATGTAGTTTTTATTTTTTATATGCCCACTCCTGTAAATGTCAAAAATCGCACCGCCAATGATGCTAGTAAGATCAGTTGCTCTCAGCCTCTGTTGTTGTTATGGTAAATTCATAATAGAAAAAATGAAATTGTTTTTATAAAAAAAAATAAACAAATAAATTACAACGTATGACGTTCTAAAAGATGCATAAGGCAAAATAATTAGAAATTGTTTGGAATTCTCCAGTCATTAAAAAGACTTTATGAATCCAGTAGTATCCCAATTATAATATGCTTCTGTTATATTGCATTGAAAGCTATTTACCAGGGATATTCAATAGAATAAACAACTATCGAAAATTCCCCTAAAGATACGCTTATGCTTAGTCACAGGTGGTCGAAATAAACTAATCATTCGTTCTAGAATGCGCTAGAATGCTTATGGCAGTGCATACATAAGGAGTTTACTAAATTAATTACTTTAGAAAATAGTAGGAACACCATAGATTATCAGATAGTGACAGGTTTAGGTGCCCCATTTTCACATACAAGCCTCGAAGAGGGTTGAAAAGTACATCGATTTTAAGTAGAATGAAAAAAAATGTAAGAGTGGCTCCTGGGGATAATATAGGGAAAATTCGATTTTCCTTAACAAAAATTAAAAGGTACTTGTTGCCCACATTTTCACGCAAGCCATGTTCACTAAATGATTAACTAATAGAACTAGATTTCAGGAAAGCAAATACTTTAATGTTGCAAGTGGCTAAAGGGTTGAAATAAAAGCGCAATCGAATCGAATGTATGAAAACGAAAAACATCAACTTGAATGACCCTAATGGATATGCATTTTGGGGTCGGAAATATTTCTGTTAAGGAAAATCGAATTTTCCATGTGTTATCCACAAGAGCCATTCGTAAATGCCCTTTCATTCTACTCAACGTCGATGTACTTCTCAATTCTCTTTGAGGCTTGTATGCGAAAATGGGGCACCTAAATCTGTCACTATCTGATGCTCTCTACCAATCTCGCATGTACTAAGAACGTCTGGAATGTTAATTTTTATATGTAAACAGGCCAAGTTTTGTTATTTGAGTTAGTTCAAGTTGAGACATCGCAGTGAGCAAATCAACATAGTTAATATAAATTAGTATACAAGTAAATGTCCATATAAATTAGTATAGTATTTGAAAAAATGTATTAATTAGTTTATTTAGTGTAAATAAATTAGATTGATACTGTTTTAAATAAATAAATAAATAAATGTTACAATATGGTCACAATATCAAATTCGGAGAGAGTGCAGGATAAGTTCCTTAGGTACTGTGCATACAAGCTGAATATGCCAATAGTAGACCATAACCATGAACGATCCAATTAAACACATGGAGGCAAGTGCCTTAAATAGAAAAAGAACCATTTAAACATATAGAGGCAAGTACCTTAAATAGTAAAAGAACCATTTAAACATATGGAGAGAAGTGTCACATAGTAAAAAAAGCATTTAAACACATGGAGGGCAGTGCCTCAAATAGTAAAAGAACCATTTAAACATATAGAGACAAGTGTCACATAGTAAAAAAAACCATTTAAAGATATGGAGACAAGTGTAACAGTAAAAAAGCCATTTAAACACATGGAGGCGAGTGCCTCAAATAGTAAAAGAACCATTTAAACATATGGAGACAAGTGTCACATAGTAAAAGAACCATTTAAACACATGGAGACAAGTGTCACATAGTAAAAAAACAATTTAAACATATGGAGGCAAGTGCCTCAAATAGTAAAAGAACCAGTTAAACATGTAGAGGCAAGTACCTCAAATAGTAAAGAACCATTTAAACATATGGAGAAGCGTCTCAAATAGTAAAAGAACCATTAAAACATATGGAGGCAAGTGCCTCAAATAGTAATGGAATTAGATCTACCTACTTTTTATTTTTTGTTTTAAATTAAAAAATGTTCTTTAAATGCTAAAATCATTATGATGTTAATTTCATACCTGATGTGTCAGTGGCTCTTGCTTGCTGTATAAATAACATACCATCTTCCATGATACTAGTCACTGGAGATCCCCAATTTATAATACCACGTGATAAAAATTGGTTAATGACTTCCTGTGCTGTACCAAAAGCCTAAAATACCAATAGTTCAATTATACAGTGTATTAAACACGATTTATCCATTTTCAATTTTTTATTTAATGTATTCAAAAACGTCTTGACACAGAATTCCAAAATTGTAGAAGTTTTAGAAAAAATAATCGTACTTACAGGTTTGATGTCATGTTCTAAAGCATGCATGAAGTCTGACCGACAAACCAGCAATTTCTCCATTGCTTCTGGGTCTACTTCTACCTTAGCAGCTGCTTTTATTAGACGGTTCATGGCAGTTGATTGGGCAGCTCGTACCAAACCTTCTATTTCTGCACCTGAGAAATTCTTGGTCAAAGTGGCTAATTCCTACAAAGTAAAAATAAATAAAAAAAATTAATTTTAAGACGAACTGAATTCAATAATTATTGAATGTTGGGCGGATAACTATCAAAAATAAGGAATTTCCATCAATGTAGATGACATTCTTTGTCCTCGATCCACTGGACTATTTACACAATATTATATTAATCAGTCACTTAAAGAAGAATGAGATTGGTTAAAAAAAATTACAGTACTAACATGTAAGTCAACATCAGGACTAATTTTTTTAAACTGTTTCATCCTATAGGTGTGAATATCAAGAATCTGTACTCGTCCTTCTTCATTTGGTAAACTAATTTCTATCTGTACTTCTAATCTACCAGGTCTCATTAAAGCTTCATCAATCATATCTCTTCTATTTGTCATACCTAGAAGTAAATAAAGGTATTAAGTTTAATGTAAAAAAATATATTTGGTAACATGACACACCAATTACTAGAATATTGTTCAGTTGTTCAACACCATCTATTTTGGATAAAAGTTGGTTGACCACTGTATCATGAACACCCGTATTTCCAGCAACTGATCCTCTTTGTTTACAAATAGCATCAATTTCATCAAAAATTATAATATGCAGACCACTGTTTGGACCAGCCTAGAAAAGATTGTTTAAAAGCTTATTAACAACTCTTCTATTAACAAAAAGTTTTATTTGGCTTTAGTGTTAAAATATGAAGATATAAATTCCTGCTTACACGTTTTTCTTCTTCTTCAGCATCAGCAAATAGTCTTCTAACATTGGCTTCAGATTCACCAACGTACTTGTCCAAAATCTGGGGACCATTTACGATTTTTGGCTCACGAGCATTTAACATTTTTCCAATTTGTCTAGCCATGAGAGTTTTACCAGTACCTGGAGGACCATATAGCAAGATTCCTGAAATTCAAAAATTATTTTACAAAAGGAACATATAGTTAATTTCTTTAATGGTTTTTTACTTTTTATCACCATTTATGTACAGTACCTTTTACGTGTTTGCAACCAAGTTGTTCAACAAGTTCTGGTGGAAAAACTCTTGAAGCAAAAGCTCGCCTAAAGATGGCATTGAATTCATTACTTAGACCACCAATTCCCATCTTATTGAAGTCCCAATCTGGATTTATTATAGACTGGCGAACAACTTTTCTGTGAATCAAAAAAAAAAAAAACTTAAATAGGACATAGGACTAAGCAAAAATAATTGATTTTAAAGACATTGATTGATGATCTAAAGTAAATAATTTAAAAACTATTATTTTAAAAACTTTTTAAATACAATTTTACAATCTTATAGAATAGTAGATGGAAATAAAGGTGCATAGAAGCAAAATTTAGAAGATTGTCATGTAATGAACTGTTTTAACCTGCAGCATTTCTTTATAATTTTAAAGAAAGTTTTTCATCTAATTTTAGATTAATTTTTTCACTGGTTTAATGGGTTAAATAAAAATGAATTAAAAAATACTGTTTAATATATCAAATTAAAATTGACACAGATACAAATATTTTTCGCCAAGAGCAAAAATAATGCAGAAACGTGTTATTCTTAGCATGAAAAAACAAATTATTAGCTGGCTAAAATAGGTATTTTTACAATTTCTAATGACTACATCCTTGTTTACCACAAGACTTTATTTTAAAGGTTGAAATGCTAGTCATTGATTTAGAAATGACCCAAAATAAATTATAAAATTTTATTTCAACTTACCCTTTAGATTTACCTACTAGATTAAGTGAAGAGGCTTCTGCTTTTTCAAACTGAACAAGTGTATTGGGGATCAATTGGCCCAATTTAGCCTTCCTTGGCTTACCCTCTCCACCTGCTTTTATTTTTGCAATATCAACCACTAAAACAAATACAAGAATAAACAAAATACACTTTTTATTGTGATTTAAAATCTTACCTTCAATGTCTTTAATAACAAGTAATAACAATTTCTTATCCTTAAAAGCAAATGCTAATTGTTGACCAACTGTAAACATTTGATTTGGGAAGGAATATAAGAACTCTTTTGCCATCTCATCAGTGTCATACTGTTCTTGAGAAGTTCTAGAAGTATAGATAATTATAATAATTAAAGACTGAAGTGATAGGAAAATAAATATTGTTTGGACTAGACTAGGATTAAATTGAGTATAATTACTTAAAAATTAATTTAGTTCTGTCTAGGTATAAGGAATGGAAATGTTTCGTCTATCCTATCTAAAGAAAAAAGAGGTCAAGAAAACATTTCATAAAAATACAGTATAATCCTCTACAATGCTTTTTTCCTAATATATCACAAAAAACAAGTATTGTCAATCAAGCTGAATCTGCTTTAAATACAAACTGTTCAATATACTAGCAGACATCATGAATTTCTTCAAAATTATACTGTATATAAGATTGCCAAGAACGAACGTCATTTTGTTTTGTTATTATTCTTCACAGGGGAGGGGGCACTGCGAAATTAAAATACATAAGCTGAAGGCGACATTAATACTAGCAAAAAAAAAGGTCTTTTTCCTCTGGGTCAGCATCTCTGCAATTTGGCAACCCTTATTGTGTAATAATTTAATGTAAAACTATGCTTTTGAGTAAATCCAAAGTCATATACCATAAATGTGTCTTTTTCAGAATTTTGTAATCAGTAGTGCACTTTTTAGTTATAGGATTACTAATTCCTTAGTTAATGGGAAGATTTATAGTTTGGGAGGGTACTAAAATGTATGTCTGTACTTATTGCTGTTCCCACTTGTTGTCACAGACAAAGAAGATGAAGCAACAACTTCTTGTAGGATGGCAGTTTTGCCATCACCAGAAAATACCAACCCATACCAGCTCAAATTAAAATGAAAAATCTCACATAAATGCAGACATACGTTTTAGAACCCACTAAAACTACAAGTTTGACCCTTAATGTAAGTATAAATAATTGGATTTGTTTGGATTATAACTCTATTTAACTTTAAGAAAATACATACGTTTTTTTCTGCATATAATCCGCCTCCAACACAATACTTGAAATATATTCATCAGGAATATAAGGTTCAACATTAATTTCTTGATTGAGAGATAGTACAGCCCACTTTCTTTGAGGTAAACTAAATCCAACATGGTATCTAGGAATACTGGAATGTCCTTTGATAGAAAACACGAAATTTTGTCCTCCTCCTGTATGTACTTGGATATGCCTAGAATTGATTTATGATAGATAAAAAGTTGTGCAATGGTGGTTTTTTTAAGGATTAATTAGCTAAAACGTGACTCACTTAGCCCCAGTAAAATCTCCATCGTTGACTACAGCACAATTAGATAAAGATAACTCATCTGTTGGACATTTTGCTACTTTGAAGACCGCCTAAAAGATATATGAATTGAAATTATGTGTATCTATTACAGGTTCTAAGCAATCAAATCAGATTAAATAATACATTAGCAGTTTTATTAAAGTTTTTACCATATTTCAAGTAGGTGATTTTCTGCTGCAATGCAGGTTGAGAGCAATTTGTAAAAATCAATACTCCAACAATATTTTGGTTGGGCATAAGATGACAGTACTCTAACCTCAAAAACGCAGTAGTTCAAATGTCACGGGAGGGGTGGTTTTAAATGACTGTGTCTATGCAACCGATGGAACTAAAAACTAAAATAAAATCGATTAATCCAGCGATTTCTGTGAACGAAAAATTAATAATTTTTTTTTTGTTTTAAGGCTGTATGTCACGATACTAAATTAAGTACTAAATTTAGCACTAAATTAAGTTATTAATTTAGTACTAAATTTAGAACTAAAAATTTTTTTTTCCGTTTGCAACGATACCAATTTTTAGTACTAAATTTACTATAGGCGCACGCGCATTGACGTATTAATACGTAAAATTAACAGAGCAATGAAATATTATGTGTAAAACAGACAAGTAAATGGTGTTTTTATTATCAATTTGACACTAGTTGACTTGACAACAACCAAATACAGCATAAAAACCACGAAAAAAACAATAAAACCTACAAAATCAAACAAGCGAACTTTATTCAAGGCGATAATGTAAAATTGTCGCTAATTAAAAATAAAAGGGTACAGAAAATACCGTCGTGTCAACTTTTTCTATGAAAAACTTCTGCGCAACATTTCGGCGCACTTTTAGTACTTAATTAATGACTTTTTTTAGCACTAAATTTAGTACTAAATTTGCTGTTTGCAACGTGAATTTTTTTAGTACTTAAAAAATGCATTAATTTAGTTCTAAATTTAGTACTTAATTTAGTATCGTGACATACAGCCTTTAAAAGTTGCTTTTTTAAAATCAAATTTGAGATTTGATAACATAGTCACTAACAATTTAATTTTTATCGAATCTTCTGGTTAGCCACAATGCTACAGAAATCTCCTTGGTGGAAGAGATATCGATAAATGGCTGTTTTATCCCAAAATTCCATATCCACATGACTTAAGCCACTCATAGGCTTGCGAATTTGTCCAATCCGGTTTCCCTTATATGGAAGATATGATGCAAATTTTTTCCGTCTTATTTTAGCCAATGAGGTCATTTCTCCATGGTTTCGTCATCGTTTATAAAATGAGTAGTTGGGTCACTCTGACTTTTATCTTCTTTGAACATTATTTTGCCGACGAATTCCAGGGAACTAAGCGTTGGTCGTCATTCGGACACCTATATCGGGTTTTTATCTTCGAGCATATACATTGCTCGAAGGTTTTTATAGACGGGGTAGTGAGAGGAATTCGTTGCCAACTTCTGCCCGAATGATTCTACTATAGTCTTGCCTGCACGATGGTTTCGTCGTTCCGCTCTTCTATTGTAATTTTACTTCCATTTAGCATTTGAAAACAACAACTTAATGTATGCTTTCCAATATGCTTTGCTAATGTCCAAGTGGAAACTATACATAAAGTTAGCTTTAGGGTAACTAGGAAACGAATATCAACGTTGCCAGTTTATACGGATCGGCCAACGTTACAAATAAGCTATAATCTTTAAACAGACAGCGTTATAAAACATAATTCTCCAAAACCAGGACTTCCTTTTGTTCTATAGAGATAATAAAAATATAATAAAAACTGCTGGATTCTGCTTATTATTTTATTTCAAATATATTTATCGTATGTAAAAGATAATTTTTGGAGACAACTTTTATTTTTAATTAAAGTCAGTAGAAACCATATAGAAACGCTCTTCTACGTATATAAAGCAATATATGCACAAAATAATTGTACAAACTTTTGTGGTGACGTCACAAATCCCCATTTGGCAAAGCACACTTCACAAATCCGTGATTGAGAAAGTAAGCTATCCTGTTTAATAGTGTAACCTTGGACGTGGCTGACGTGTAAAGAGGTTGTGTCAAACAAAAGTCAAGTCTGTCAGTCAAAAGTCAAATCAGAATTCAAGAATGGTGAAATGACTGAAATGGAAATGTGAATTTAGTTTTTTTTTAGTGATCAAACAGCAAACTGCGAAGTAAGGTGCAGTCCAGTGTTTTGCAACTTTACATATTTATTAATTTATCTATGCTTCTTTACGCTTTATAGTGAACAGTAGGAAATGAAATTTGCTTTGTTATAACCTGCACTTTTATCTTTATTACTTTTAAATTTAAAATGTTCTAGAAATGGCTCCTAATTATAGTAAAATTGTAAATAAACACAGGGTCCTAGCTGGAGCAGGGGCCCTTGGCACTATTTTGTTCATGGTATTAAAATATAAGAAAAATGCAAAAATCAACAGGTGAGTACCCTGTTATTTTATCTCATAAATGTTTACACTTTCGCTTTTTCTTGTTCGAAAATTGCATAATGAAACCTAGATCTTTTAAGATAATTTTATTATGAAATGTTTACATAATTTATAATTTTTTGACACATTTATTATATTTATATTGACTGTCTATAAAAATGTTTTCTCAATAATTTTATAAAATGGGTTGGGATTAATGGCTTTAATATATTTTTAATGAAATAAATATTATGTGTCCATTAAATAGTTAAGTACTTATTGGAAAAGCAATTAAATGATCTGAGACAAAAATAATGAGAGTTTTATTAATTTTTATAGGAATATTTAAATTATTATTGGGAATGAAAGTACTATCAACTATTAAAAACAAAGTACTTCATTGGAAATATATAAAAAAGCAAAAATACATCTTAATTATATTTTTGGTATTTTAAAATGCAATGAGCAAACTGTCATTGCCTTGGATAGGTAAACAGTAGTCCTAGATTTTTTTGTGTTAGAGCTGAACTTAAAAAACAACATGTAGTATTTTCTAATAACTTTTAAAGAATATACATTTATTATTATAAAGAAGTAGGTATGTATTTTGATTTACCTACCTACCTAAAAGTATCTGCTTTTCTGAGCAAGCTATTCATTGTATATTAATTGAATTAATCAGTTCATTAATCCTTAGAACATATTTAAATACTTATATAAATTTGAATTTGTTTAACAAAAACTTATGTAAATATCTTAGAGAATTAAATTAAACAACTGTGTTTACTGTGTTATGTAAAATAACAAAACAAAATATTGTATAATATAGCAATATAGATCTATTAAAGTTACATAGTCAAATAGAACACAGACTTGTATTTGTTAGAGATGTATCTTCATCAGTAACAGAAGGATGGTAGATGTTAAATTTTAATGCCAACCTATTTTTCAATTTAGTTTGTTGATTCGTTCCTCCTTTTTTGGAGTTTAAGGCTCCCTATTACAAAACATATCTGGTTAATTTTCCTAAAGATGTTTGAGATTGTGCAGCAAGTTTTGTTTCTAAATTAGTAATTATTGATAATTTTTCCATAACCATTTAGATTTCTAGTCATACAGAACAAACACTGAAATAGATGCTTAATATAATTCTGGGAAACTACAAAAATGCAAATTATGATTTTCATTATTACCCCCACTTCATTTTAATGATTTTTCTATTTTTTTTTACTTTTATTTATGTAGGAAAAAAGCAAAGAAAGTACTTGAGGAAGAAGTTAAATACTTAATAGCTGATAAAGGAGAGACAAAAATAAAAGCTACGGTGGACAAAACATTTTTTACACAATTAGGTCAATTATTCAAAATAGCTGTGCCAGGATGGACAAGTCAGGAAAGTGGATTATTTTTTTTAATAGCTGCCAGTTTGGTTTCTAGATCTATTTGTGATCTATGGTTGATTAATCATGGTACTAAAATTGAAAGGTAAGTAATTTTAACATTTTTGTGTGAGTGACCTGTTAAATATTTATTTTTAATGGAAGATTTTGATTTTTAATGAAACAATTTTGAATAAATTAAAATATATTATAAAAAATTAATGAAATTCCAATTATTTGCAACCACCTGACATATAATTCAAAATTGAGGTACAAGAATTAGCAAATAAACTGTGAAATGGGTTCAGTATGTTAAGTAATATTTAATTCTAAGTAATTCATTTTTTAAAGCAGACATGTCTAGTCTATTTATAGCAGTGATATAGATATATCATCTCCATGACTTCCAAATATTATAAACTGTTTTTGAAAGTGTTTATTGTGAAAATAATTACTTCAATCATGATTAATTGAAAGTCTGCCATAAAAAAACAATAATAGTATGATCCATATGGATTGTTATAAATGTTAAATTATCTATAACCAATTTGTGATTATTTTATTCAAAAAATATTTTACAGTACTTAACTTCCATGTCAATAATAATGTATCATTAGCTTTCTAAAACAACAATAAGGTCCTTCAATACCCTTTGAATACTAGTAATGCTTCAATAATCCAAAATACCTCATATCAGTAGTTCCTTTTGAGTTTCTTCTATTTTTATACCAACTCAAATTTGTTTCATTATTTGCTTTCTTTGATTAAATGTTTAATTAAAAAAGTACGATTATGTAATTACATCAGAATATTCAAATTTACCAATAGGATATTTTTAGTTTTATAATTCTCTTTTATATTTGTAATAAATGCCTATAAAACAATTATTTTTTGCAATAGCTTTACTGGAATCTTTAAGAAAGTAATAATTATAGTGTTCACTGCATTAATTATGATTTCCTTTAACAAACTGGTTATTAAATACAACATACTTCAAAAATAATTGCTTAATTTTTATCACCTATTAATCAGTGACGTTTAGAAATCTCATGTCAAAAAATCTATCAGCAAACTGAAAAAAAAAAACATTTTAGTTTTCCCAAAATATGAAATGAAACAAAAATTAACGATATAATATTAATAATCATTATTGCAGTTATCTTTTTTTAATTTAATATCCTTTTCGAAATCCCTTGTATTTTAAATAAAAAGTTATTAAAACTTTTTATGTTAAATTATTCTTTCTAATTTTTAAAACCATTATTTAATTTTATTGGTAATGAAAAGTATAAATTCAATGTCATATATTTGACAAACAATGCTTACTCATTATATAAAAAGATAAATATTACTTAAAAAGACATGTCACCCTAAAGTAAATATATCATCAAATAAAACCTATCTATCAAATTGGAAAAAATTGGATTAACTAAAAGAGGACTAATATTATACTATACAGCATAACGTTTTTATTTAATAATTGCTTGCTCTTAAAAAGGCTCTTCTAGGTATTCTGTACACAAATACATATTGTAAGATTTAAACTATCATGAAATTCGTGAGAGATATAAATTAATTTTAAAATATATATTTTGATAATTTCCATCTAATATTATAGTAAGGTCAAGTTCATTATCAGCTCATTGGTTATTATTTGAATGTTACATAAAAATATAAAAAAAGTCATTTTGTCTTTTGTTACTACTCAAAAAATGAGTGGTACAATTATTTTTTCAATGATTATAATACTTTTCTTATGTTTTTTTTTTAATCTGATGGTTACTTTTTCGTTAGATTTTACACATTACATTGTCGTGAGCTCTGACAATTCAAATAATCGCCATTGACCTTGATAATTAAGCAGCCATTTCCTGTAACTCATTGTTATAATTCGGGACTTTCTTATTTGATGAAAAAATATTAAATGAATAAATCTTAATAATAATAAAAATACTTTATTAATCCTTTTAGATCATATACATGATATAAGACAAGTCATTTACATGTAAAGATGTACAGGGTTTTTCATTATAATTTGACTGCTATTTATTTTCATTATTATTGCAAACACAAAAAAAGTTTTAAGTAAAAGCTATGTTGTTCTATCTGTACCGACTAAAAATATACTCCAACAAAATATAATTTAATTTTTTTAATGGGACACCCTATATATTTTTGCCATTTTAAGTAGACTTGCGTTTCCTGATAACAAATATATAATATTTTAATTAAATAGTGACTAATTGCACTATGAAAGCATAACACATAGATAGCTATGAAAATCATGTTTCCAAGTGAAACAGTTGTTTGTTTATTAAAAGTTGTCAATTGATTGCTTGTAATGGGTTTTACTGTTGTCGAAAAAGTTGAGGTAAAACAACAAAGCTTTTACTTGAAACTTTTTTTGAGTTCACAAGAATTATGAAAATACGTAGTGGTCAAAATATATTGAAAAACCCTGTACAATAGTATACATTTACAAAACAGATATAAAATCTAACTAACATGTTTAAATATACAATTTAACAATAAATACACAAAATTAGGCTGTACATTGTACTACAAAAACTACAGGAGAAATTTATGAATGCTATAGGGGCATTTTTGGGATAAATAGTTTTTTAATTTGCTATTAAGGAGGTCCTTTCGCCACACCTCTCGCCTCAAATGTTAAAAAAAAGTTATTAGATTATGACTAAAATTAATTTTTTTCTAATAGTTGAAGTCCTTATTTATCTAATACTGAACTTTTAACTATACCTTACCTTGCAAATTTTTGAGAATTTTTTTTTTAAAATGTGATTATTTGTACAGTGCCTCACGAGAAAGTAAGTCCTCAACAACAATTCTCGAATTATACTATTATTTATTGATTAGATGGAGTAGAAAAAAACTAAAAATAAGGTTTTTGAAATATTTAGATTTTGTTTTATACAATAAAATATATATAGTAAACCGTGGAACTTATTGAGAAATTAATATTAAAAAATCACAAAAAATTTTCAAGTAACCTAGTTGAAAATTTTTTGTGATTTTTTAATAATAATTTCTCAATAAATTCCACGGTAACCTATATATTTTATTGTAAAAAACAAAACCTAAATATTTCAAAAACCTTATTTTTAGTTTTTTTCTACTCCATCTAATCAATAAATAATAGTAAAATTAATTATAATTCGAAAATTGTTGTTGAAGTCTTACTTTCTCATAAGACACTGTACAAACACAGACATTTTAAAAAAAAAAATCTCAAAAATTTGCACGGTAATGTATAGTTAAAAGTTCACTATTAGATAAATAAGGACATCTACTATTAGAAAAAAATTAATTTTAGTCATAATCTAATATTTTTTATTTAACATTGGTGGCGAAAGGACCTCCTTAAATGAGCTCAGACTATTAATTTGTTTTAGAGGGGTAGGTAGATGATTGAATAACCTTATTCCACAGTAGTATGAACTTTTTTCAAACATGGTTGAAACATGAGGGGGTATGCATAGTAAATTGCCACAAGTACTATAATTGTGGTTGTCTGAGTTACGGGTAAATTTGGAGATGTTTGTTTTAACTTATATAACATATTTGAGAATATGTATTGCTGGAAAAGTCAGTATATTATATATTTTAAAAAGATCTCTACAGGTACTTCTAGCGTTTAGGGGAGCGTTCAAGTATTACGTAACGCAATTTTTGGATATTTTTAACCCTCCCTCCCCCCATGTAACGCGCCGTAACGTTTTTCTGTACCCCTCTCCCCCCTAGTAAAACGTTACGTAACCACCAAGTGACTATTTTTACCTAAAAATCACAATTATGTCACTCCATTTGAAATTTTGAGAAAAAAATATGTTTTAAAAAATGCGTGAGAGAATCTCTCTACACGACTTTTCTGAAGGGTTAAAAAATAATAATGGTACGTAACGCGTAGTTCAAAACCCCCCTTTCGCCCCTGTAACGCATCGTAACGTTTTACAAAACCCCCCTCCCCCCTAAATTCGTTACGTAATACTTGAACGCTCCCCAGGTTAAAAATTGATCTTATTAATCTTTTTTGACAAACAAAGACTTACTGGTCGCATTTCCCCAAAGCTAAATGTGAATATGCCATCGCATAGTAAACTTGAAGAAGCTGTTTGGTGTCGCAACATATTTTTTAATTGGAGAATTGCATAGTATGCACTATTTAATTTTTTGCAAACAGAGTCAGTATTGTAACTCCAGCTCATATCTGCATCTATAAGAATTTTGTTTTCATAGACAGTGGGATAAAATCATTATTTATTTGTATTAAAAAATCTGTACTTATTCTGATCTAGAATGGAACTGAACGAGTACTGTTTTGTTGGAGTTAACAATTAATGCATTTCTTTTACACCATGCAGTAAATTCTCTAGCAACAAGAGACAATCTGGAATGAAATTCTTCAGGTGATCCTGCATCGACAGCATCATCTGCATATATTGAAATGTGACCGGATGAGTCGTTTATGTAAAGGAGAAATATTAGTGGACCCAATACTGATCCCTGAGGAACACCGCGATCCATGTCCTTTACTTCTGATAAGCAACCATTGATTCTAACAGACATTTTACGAGAATCTATATAGGAATTAATCCATTGCAAAAAGTTACCCTTAATACCTAAAGCACTTAATTTTCCAATAATAATTGAGATATCAATGGTGTCAAAAGCTTTAGATAGATCAAAAAAGAGCGCACCCACTAACCTTTTTCTATCCAGCTGATTGTGGACATAATTAAAAAAGGCAGTAGTAGCACTTTCTGTGGACCTATCAGGAAGAAACCCATGTTGTTGATCTGTAATAATTTTAATTTTAAATAAAAGTGAACATTTTTTTATAAATACATTTTTCAAAAATTTTACAGAGATCAGCACTGTGATAGGTCTATAATTTTCAAGAGCCGTTGAATCGCCTTTTTTAAAAATAGGTGATACTATACCAGTTTTAAGTTCTTTGGGGAATATGCCATTTTTTACAGACATTGATTATATATGCAATTGGTTCTGATATACAGGGTGTTTCAAAAAGGTATGTCATACATTTTTCCACATATAGATTACCAAAAAATAAGTGGATTTGGCTAT